CTGGTTCTTCAGCAGTTTTTCTGTAAAGAAATTGCCCAGCCACGCCTTGGCCTCCTGTTGAAGCATGAGTCTGGAGAGAGCTGCCAGAACATCAGGCTGTTTTTCAAATTCGGAATGTTCCTGGCTGATGGCAGTGCAATGAAGTACATATACAGCTGCAAAGGAGATTCAGGAAGCAAATTTTGCGTGATGTGCCGAAATGTCAGAGCACCTCTTCAAGAGGAACTTGAGGATGAGAATGACATGCTCGGGTCTGATGTGTGTACCCTTTCACAATGTCAGCTTGCAACAAACCAGGAAGTGCTACAGGCTTACCAGAGGTGTGCTGCCAACCAGACGGCCATGAGCAAGAGAGCATTTGATGACTGGCAGCAGGCGTGTGGAGTCACACACAACCAGCATTCCCTTTTTTTGTGCAAACAGCTGTTGGACCAGAACGTCTTGCAGCCAATCAGCCAGTGGTGCCACGATTGGATGCACGCAATGGCTTCACAGGGGGTTATGCAAGTAATGATATACCTGCTGTGTGCAACACTGGGTTGGGAAAGCATGGAGACTTACTTGAAGCTGTGGACCTTGCCGGCTACTTGGCAAAAGGCTGGCTCCTTGCCTGAGCTCTTTTCAAGCAAGAAGGTCAAAAGCTACAAGGAAGCCAAGAAGTTCAAGTGCAGCGCGTCAGAAACACTGAGCTTATGCCCTCTTCTTGCTTTTTTGGCCGCGCATGTGTTCGTGCCCAAGGGCAGCCATGTGCTGGAATGCCAAGCATTCCTCAGCATGAATCGGGTCTTGGAGCTACTACAAGCTTCTGACAGAGTGGCTCCCCCCGTCCTTCAAAAGCAAGTGGAATTTGCATTGCGAAAAACAAAGGAAGCTGGCTGGTCCAATTACATGACACGAAAGTTTCACTGGCTGTTGCATCTAGCAACATCACTGCAGCTGCATGGCGTTTTGCCCTCTTGCTGGTCACTGGAAAGAAAGCACAAAGTATGCTCCCGATATGCCACTGCCACCACAAATTTGTCTGTCTATGAGCAAAGCATCTTGGAGGAGGTCCTTGCGCATGATTTGCACTCACTGAAGCACAGCGCAGTGTTCCAGCAGTGGCAGCAGGGTGCGTGCCTAACGAAGCCTCGCGCTGCCAACAAGAAGCTGGCCCTGCGCATTCGCATGACTTTGGGCATGGGAATGCCTGATGACTGCATCCATGTGGGCAACCAAGCCAAGCTGCGAACTGGTGCTTCTTGTCAGGCAAAGGATGTTGTGCTCATGGCTGGCAGCCAGCAGGGCCAAGCTTGGGAGGTTGCAGCCATCTCCCTACATTTCCAAGTGGGCAGTATTGTGTACAGTATTGTTTCTCCCTTTACTCTTGTGGAATACTGTGCAAAGACTTGCTCAGCCTTGGTCAAAGAAACAGGTGAGCTGGTTCTGGTGCAAACAGCAGACTTGCTGACACCTGTCGCCTTTTGCCCCAGCAAAGATGGGCTGAGGGTGCTGGTGCCTTGGGCCCACAGGCCGTGAAATGCATGACGGGGCCAACTTGCAAAACAGCAATGCTTTTGCATCGGCTGTCAGCCTTTCCAGGCTTATTGCTGTCTTGTTGACTCATGCCAGGCTCAGCCTTTTCAGGCTTGAGACATGTGCTGTCAGCCTGTTCAGGCTACACACTGGCATTCAGCTTTGGGGGGCTGTCAGCCTTTTCAGGCTTTTTGGCTCAGCCTTCATAGGCTTTTCCTATTGTTCTCAATGTGCTTGTCAGGCTTCGAAGGCTGCTCACTAAGGAAATTTGCAACTTTCCCGGGCTTATATATTTCAGCTTGAGTGCTGACTAAAGTCTATATTCAAGCTTAGCTAACTACTTAGGAAACACTTAGTTAACTACTTAGCTAACTTGTTATAAGTCGTTAGCTAACCATCATAACCATGCTAAGTCACTAGTAAGCACACAGCCGATCCAAGTAGTGATGGACGTCTTCACCCGGGAGGCCGCCGTGGCTCACTGCGGTATATATAATTTTGACAAGTGTTATCAATGGAATTAACAACATTCAACATATAACCGCATGGTTTATGTTCTTGATAAGTGCCTTTTATTCCATTTGAAGAAGAAACAGTAATACATTCAAAATCACCATAAACAACAAACGGGCATTTTAATTTCGTATTATGTTTTTCAAAGTCAATATAACTACCGTCTTTTGGTAATTTAAATTGTTGCCCATGAGTAGCCATACAACCTTTTTCATAATGTTTTGTTAGTAACTCCTTTCTGGTGAAAGCATGAGAACAATAATGGCAGTCATGTTTTGGTTGGTCATTTTTGTTTGTTTGACAGTTCATTAGACGACTTAGACTTTTTATAACTACATAATGAGTATTATTATTGTTTTCAATTTTCAAAAGATGTATTTGATATTTTGTGTCTCTTGTCTTAGTTCTGTAGTCAATTGTTATTTTTGCTTCATTCAGAGTATCATCAATTTCAAAAACATTGATTGAAACTAACTTGCTATTGTTTGCTTCAAACCTTCCAATGTCTTTATTACCAGTTGGAAATTTAACACCGTCCCAGTTCAAAACATTGTCATGTAATTTATTATAATGAAACATTTCCTGAGAATTTGATTTGTTAATTATATCAAAAACTATACTTTGAACACTATATTTGAAACATTTGTTATCTTTGTTTTTGATATTCATACATGCCTTCTTTAGTTTAATCCATTCTGGTAAATCAATATAACTACCCGCCCGAGTAGGATCGTATTTGTCATAGTGCATTGTTATTGATAATATTTTTATGAACTTTAAATTAGATGCTGAGCCTTCTAGCTTTTCTATGTTTAATAAAATTTCTTTGATAATTTTTGAAATGCTTCGTCCAAATCGGTTTCATTAAACACATTTGACCTTGTCGCGGGTAATTGATAAACTATCTCTGTATGTCTTATTACTCCATCATCCTCGTAATAGTGATGAAATAAACCTTCTGCCCTAATATTTAATTTCATTGCTCTGTTATTTTTAAAAAGTTCAAAAGCCTATCTTTTTGGTAATGTATCATTGATAATGCTTTCTCACCTTCAAAATGTTTATTTACAATTTTAATTGAGTTAGCATACCTTTTGAATGCTGACTGTTGGTCTGTTACTTGGAACTTATTTTTGCTTGCGTATTTGGTCATAGCATTTTTCAATCTTTGTTTTAGGTATGTTGAACGCAATGTTTTTGTAGCATGACTATTATATTCATTGGTGTTTGCTACGGATTTCAACTTCTTTTTCAAAACACTAAAGATTAGTTTATCTTTGTTGTATCTAAATTTTCTACCATCTATAATTATTGATTTTAATTCCTTGTTGCCTCTTTTTGGTATTTCTGCTTTATCATTTGTTAATAGATAATCTATAACATGTTTCATATTACTATACTATATAATTTAATAGTTTTTTCTTCTTTAAGTGTTTTTTTAGAAATATATACTTAAAGAAATATTAAGTTAATAAGATATAATAAAATGGTAGAATTTACTGAGATTGAACAAGAAGAAATTATTAATAAATTCTTGGATATGGTTTTAATCAATAACACTAAAAAAGAACTCAAAAATAAATGCGATTGTTGCAAATGTAAAAATTACAAAAATCATAATAGATATAAAGAAATTGGAAGAATAGAATTACCAATCAATATGTTAAATATTATTTACAATTCTACCTATAAATGCATTTTCTGCCAAGAAAGAGAGAAAACAATTCGTCATATTGAAACTACTCAAAACCATAATGTTGATTTTTTAAATAATGCAAATATAAAAACTGGTTATTTGTTGAACAATGTAAATTTCCAAATAAAAGTAGTTTTCCGAAAATGTCTGAACAAAGATATAATTTAATGAAACGTAATTATGAGCATTTAGCATATTATGGTGGTCAATCCACTACAGAGTTAAACATCAAGCCAACATTTAGTAGAGCTGGTTTTAATCCAAACAAAAATTATCAAGAACTAGATGCCATTGTTATAAAACTTAAGAACGAATACAAAATGAAATACCACCCTGAATTTTAATGGTGAAAAACCATGCTATGATTATAACATGTGAACTCTTATATGTTATAATCATATCACACTTATCATCTAATAAAGTTTGTAATTTTCTGAATATTATATTTTCCTTAATTTGCTTAGCTCTTTCAAAGTGCGTTGTTTGAACTTGGTAGGTTGCTTCAGTTTTTTCGTGCTTTGTTACTTTCGTTTTTATTTTGTTTGATACTCTTCTGATATTTTTTGTTTGTATGTTGCTTTGAAAATTTTAGTGTGTGTTTTCTGAAATTTTGATTTTGATGTTTGTTGGTATGCTTGTATGATTTATTGATTGTTTTATGCTTTGATGTTATTTTTGTTTAGTGGTCGATTCATGTTTTTGAGTTGGTAGGTGTTTCTTAAATGGTTTTCTGTGGATTTTGTGAAAATGTTCTTATGCTGTTTGATATTTTGGTTTTGATGTTAGAAGTGCCGTTTTACATATTTTTTACCCCGGCCACTTACCCCGGCCCAGCCCAGCCACCAGCGCATCTCCAAGCCCAGGCCAAGCCCGCGTCCCAGCCCAGCCCCGCAACCCAGCAGCCTTCAGCCCGGCGCAAGCTGACTGCTTCTTCAACCGCCCGGCTAGCCAGCGCAGTGTGGCCGCCTAGCCTTGGCCCACAGCCCAGCTAGCAAGGCTGCGCTCAGCCTGGGTCTGGCCCAGCCCTGCCCAACCAGCAAGCTCGGCTCAATCTGGCTTGCCCAATCACAGCCCAACCGAGCTGTCAACCCAATCTGACAGCCAGCACGGCCTGGCCAAGCCAGATCAACCTAGCCTTAGCCGATCTTTGCCCGGTCGGTCCAGCTCTACCCAGCCTCAGAGCTTGCTCAGTCCGGCGCGGCCAGCGCCCCAACACTAAGCAAACACGTATGGCCGCCGATCTCGCACAACCTTTCCCAGCATGCTTGGATTGGCCGAGGCGGGCAACGCGAAGCGCTTACAATTAGGTCACTTTCTGCCGAACCCTGATCAGCGCCTCGGGCCAGTAGACAAAGGAGGTGGTGTGCGCGTTGTAGGTGCCAGGACCAAGGGTGACATAGCTGTCCGTGGACCTGGGTGAAACTACTTCTGACCCTTTTGCCCATCCAGCGCAAGATGGGACCGAAACAAGGGTTACCAGAATCTTCTGGGGCCCAGTGTTGCAGTTGAACTGAAAGAGACCCATATTGGGTTCCAAGTTTCTCTGAGGACGTTTTGGCCATCTGGTACCCTTTCTTCAAAGCCCGAAAGAGATCGGCTGAGATCATCTGAGTCTGGTGCATGATGGCGAGATGCGGCAGAGTACTTTGGGCCGTTCTTGCCCACCGACATAACATTCTGCATATCGTACCTGCGCTGTCCGCATTCAGATTGAAGATGTTGCGATTCCGAGCTTTCCTGCCCGGCTGCAACCTGCCACAGCTGCATCAACAAGGGGACATACCATGGGTCTCAGGAATTAGGGAGGGGTCTTGATAGCGATGAACGACTCTGCATTGAGGAACCGCCCATGGACTGTGCAAGGGCTTCATCTGACCAAGCTACTCATCACAATCTCTTGCTTTCTCAAGCTCAAGCCCTTCGCAATGGCAGTTGGCTCAGTCCTACTTTACTTTTGAGCTTCATCTTACATGGCGATGCTCACATTGGTTATGTCAAAAGAGAAACTATCCTCAAAACTTGGCTGCTCTCCATCTCAACATGCCCGAATGATTCACTTGTCACCATTCGGGCGCCTTTTGGGGCCATCATAAATTGGCGATCGCCTTTTAAAGGGCTCCGACACTTAGATTACCTGTTCAAAGTAGGGAACAAGGGAGTAAACCTACCAACCCTTGGTTTCCCCCATCTACCGGTTGGCGGGGGGGGCTACTACTTGGAACATCAAGGAGTCATTTCATCGACTGCCGGGCAGGGCACGCGCCGGGCCACGCGCGGCGCCCGTGATGTCGGCCCTGGCGGACGTCCCGAACCACCAACGGACCGGCGCGGCATACCTGGAGCTGCAGCAGCGCCTCTCGCCCTTCTCGGGGCCGGGCCCCCGACTCGGCCGAGTCACCCCGGCCAGAAGCCAGAAACGAACCGTCGGTAGGCAGCGTCCGAAAACGGCGTTGAACGGCGTTCTATGGCGCAACGCCGTCCGAAAAGTGTTTCGTGCCAGCACCCAACCGAGCCTGGCGCATGCCCCCCGCCCCCTGCCTCGTCGCTGTCCTACCGGCAACCGCCCAAATTCACAACCCTGGATCTTCCAAAGGCGTCTTTTTTAAGGTAATTCAAGGATCTAAGCCTTTTGCCCGAAATAAAGGGAATTCAAGGAGGTTATTTGAAAATCAAGTCGTTTCCTCGCAATTTATCATGTGAGGCAAAAGCAACATACAACCACGCTACAAGAGCTCAATGCCACAAGCATCCGCAATGTAGCCAGTCTGCTATGTATAAAAGTTTAATCCAACCTGCCAAGCCCTTTCAAGTAACAGGCTGATACCCCCTTTTCTGAAAAGGCGCCCGTGTGCAGGAATCTTGGCTTGAATGTGGACGCACTAGGCGTGCCAATTCCTTCATTTACCAGATTTCTGGATTTGCGGGAGTTTGCGGGTTTTTGCGGGTTTTTTGCGGGTATTTTGCGGGTTTTTTGCGGGTAAAAAGGGGCGTAGCCGTACTGCAAAAAACAACGTACTACCACCACCATGGTAATTCTGAGAAACCATTCCGTGGCTTGACGGAAGGATCAAAGGGCTTGACCATCCTCCGGGAAGAGTGGCAGCAAATTAGAGATGCGGCGCCAATGGATGCTCAGCCCTGCGCCTGACCCTAGCTTGGTGACCGCGGGCCACGGGAAGGCTCAAAACGCTGCGGTTTTGGACTTTGCCGCATTTATATCGAGAGGCCGTGGATGGTATGGCAGTTTCAAGCAAATCAAGTCAATCAAGATGTTTTCTTGTAAACAAAGTAAATACAGGCAAAAGTCGCAAACTCCTTGAAAAAAGACAGCGATGGAAGATCCAGGACTGCTTCTTGGAGCGCCCTGCTGCCGGCTGGCGCACGAAGCAACTCCGCCACGCACAGGGTGCCAGCGGGTCACCTCAAGAGCTGAGAATCCAGGCAAAACAACATCACAGCAAAACCAATTGAGATCTGGACCTGTGCCCTGTGGGAATCCTGGCGGACCAATTGCAACACACAACACAGGAGCCCCGACTCACACGCCCCAGCGGTGCGCACGAACCGACGGCTCTTCCAAGCCCTTTTTGGCTGCTTTGGCTTGCGCCACACAAAAACCGCTTGTGAATCTCAAAGGAAGCACGCAGTCCTGCCTCTTTCACGAACTCGCGCACTTTTTGTTGCAACTCGTCTTTCAGTCCTGAAAGGGTCCACTTCCCTGGGTATATCTTCTGCAGCCTTTGCTTGCAAGATGCCATACTCGAGCTGTGTCGACCATTTTGGATCACAGGTGGCATTTTTTGAAACCATTCTACATCAACATGGCACAAAGCTTGCCCCATGGATTGATGCATCGATTGCGGCGAAGCACCTGATGATTGGAGACCTCAGCGGCGCTACTCATCTTCCTGCAGCGCCTGGTGCCCTGAAGCAAGTGGATCTCAGTGTTTATCAGCGCTCCGCCTGAGTCAATTTTGTAGTCATCTCATCGCCAGCTTTGTGCATCCAGATCTAGCCGAAGCCGTGCCTTATTTTGGAGTGCATACACGTTGTTAATAGGCCATGCCATCAGGGCCTGGTACAAGGTTTCTGCCATTGCTTTTCGCCTAGCCGCCATCAAAATGGCTGCTGGTTGTGCGCGGATTGTTGCGTCGGCAATCTTGAGCGCGGCCTTGGCGACCCGCCCTGGCAGTTCCCAGAACCTTCTGTAAAAAAAACAAACAGCTGCTGCCATCGCTGCCAGCAGCCGCTTGCGCGGAGCACGTGTGAAAGTGCAAACACGCATGCCTTGACGCATCTCCTTTTGCTTGCCACTTTGGGCTCGGAAGAAGACGGCTTGCGTCGTCTGCCGGTCTTGGCCTGAGCTTGGCCGGGGTGCGCGCAGTTTTTTGAAGTTGGGCTTGCGCCCATAGCCGCGCTGGCTGCTTGTGCACCGCGCAGGGCGATGTGATCTAGCAAGGGCAGCTCGTGCAATCTGTGGGCTTGTGCCCCCTGTTAACAAATTACCTTGCTGCGAGCACCCGCTTGCGCGTGGTTGCTGTGACTTTTTCTGCCCGCGTGCAGGCGCAGTCAGCTCTGAGGCTTGTGCCGGAGCTCTGAGGCTTGCGCCCCAGCTGCGCGCTACTTTTGTTTTTCATTGTGCACGCAGGTTGGTGCAAATGGCAGGCGTCGCTGACAGCGAAGCCACTTTCTCTGCCAACGCCCTGAAGTATGGGCTTTCTCAGGGAATCCTAGACCATTGGAAGGGTGTGGGCATTCGCAACTACTCTTCGTTGCTGTTCACCGTTGCTAGCAGCCCTGGGAACGTTGACAGTGATAAGCTTGAGAAGCTCCTGGGCAACTTGCCAGCAGGAGCCAGGAACACCGCTGTTGAAGCAGCTGTGTCCAGGCTTCTTTTTGAAGGTGGCACCTTCGTGGTCGCAGAGCTCAAGCAAAGCGTTGAGCATGGGGATGAAAGCACCCAGCGATTGTCCCCTCAGGAGCGCAGCAGCCGCTTGGCGGCAGTCCGTGCCAAGTTGGGGGCTTCTCCTGTCACAGGCCAATTCGAGCCAAGCCATCGGTTAAGTGACATGTGTGCAACCATGGTCCGTGATCAGGCAATCAGGCACATCCCCCCTTCCAGCTGCTCCTGCCGTGAACAGGAGATTGCTTCAGTCAAGCAAGATGACAATCTGTTCAGGCTTGAAAGCAACAGCTTGAAAGCAGCCTCAAAGCCTGCCCCCCTCGAAGTCGACCTTTCCACTGAGCTGCGCATGTACCAAGCTTTCGCCAGACGCGGCATCGCGTTGGAAGTTGCAGGTGTGTGTTCGTTTGAAACCCACGAGGCTTACGCCAGAAGCTTGTTTGATCACTTGTCACGGCCGGCGCCCGCCGGGTACGTGGCCCCAGGGGCTGAGCAAATCCTGCGGGCGGATCGGGCCCTTTGGCAGGCTGTGGCAGAGGATGTGGAGCACCGTTTTGCCAACTCAGGTGGCGCCACGTTGGTTGACGCTGCCATCAAGAAGCATCAATCTTCAGCTGTTGTCACATTTCATGTGCTGCCCCTGGTCAAGCCTGAGCGCTCCGAGAAGAAGCGCTCCTGGGATGATGCCATCGGAGGCAAGGACGGGAAAGGGGGAAAGGGCCAGTCCAAGAGCGGCAAAGGCAAATGGCAAGGTCAGGGCCGCGTTCGGGGTCAACGGTCCCTGCCGCCCTCAAAGGTCTGAGCCCCAATGACCAGTCTGGGCGCCCCCGTTGTTTCAATTTCAATTTACCACATGGCTGTTCCTCCGATTCTTGGGATGAAGGGGGCCACAAGACTTGCGCCAAAGGGCTACACACGTGCGTGCGCTGTGGTGGATCGCATTCCGCCAGCTCGTGTGACAAGTGACCGTGTCAGCAATTAGCCGCTGCCTCAGGTGGTAAGCCGGCAGTAGTTTCACACCCGCTCATCCCAGATCCAAAGCATGAGCCTTCCTTTTCAGAGAGCGGGCTTGAACCCTTTGGGCGTGAGCCCCCTCTGAAACCCACCCAGCTCACTTTTCCTGAGCTCAACACTTTCATCGCTCTTGCAACCCCGACCCACGTGCTGCTCCAGCGGCGCAACACAGCTTTTAACTCTTTCACCGTGCCGTTGTCCTCCAGCACCCGTTCGGCTTCTGCAGTCACCTGAGCGAGACAAGGCTGGGACGTCGCTTTCTCTGAAGGTCCGCCTCCTCCTCGAGATCGAGCTAGCCAAGAAGCCCAGCGTTCAGGCCTGATGCACATGGCCCCCACGCCTGGGCACTGTTGTCCTGGCAACGGCAACCGTCCAAACTTGCACGCCTTGGGTTCGAAGGTCCTCTTGCGCAGCCCTGGCACGCGAGGCGACTCCAGCGTGCAAAGGGCGTGGTCTCACCTGAACGAACGAAAGTGCGATTTGTTTGGGGCTGTGGGCAACTCTCAGGAATGGGCCAGTGCGTTGTTGCGGTTCTGGCACGGCAGCACAAACAGGAAGATCCAAAGTGAGGGCTTTACGGTCCTTCAGCCGAGCTCCTCCGGCAAAGTTGTGGGCGGCAAATGGGGACTCCTGAAAACACGAAAATCCTTTCATTTGCAAACGCTGCTCCAGACAATCCCAAGACCCGGGCCGTGCTCGGCCACCATAGGGAGAGCGCCAGCACAATCCCGAGGAAGCTGAGACACGCGCCTGTCGAGGCATACCGCGGACACCGCAATGTCACAAACCGGCTGGCCTCGGCCTCTCCTCCTGGAACTCGTCGCTGCCATGGCCGTTGCAAGACTTGGTGATTCCTCACATCAACTCGATGCGTTGGTAATCCGTCGCGAGCTAGCATGCCTTGCTGATTTGATGAGCACTCGCAGGCAGCGGACGGATCTTTCACTTCTCAGTGTTGGCCCACATGATCCAACTCTGCGCAGCGGCCAGCGGTGTTGCTTTTTCGCGTTCAGCACAAACCCCACAATCAGACCTGAGCACATTTGACTCCGGCAGCTTGCTGCTGAGGCACAAAAAGCAATTAACACATTAGCAGAGAGGAGAAAGCGCGACACCAAAAGCACCTTTCTGGCTCGTATGTTTGATTAGAAGTGCAGGGGGAGCTGTCAAAAACCCGACGGCTCAAACAGCACGCATGTGACAATGCAATAATAAGGCATCTCGGTTCGTTTCATGGGTTTCTGAAAGCAGTTTCCCTTCCGCCTCAACATGAAGCTCACTTAACACTCACAGGCAGGCAAAACTTCAACACAATGCGCAAGTGCCACCGCGTGTTTCCGTCCTTCATCGATGCACGTCCTACAGACGGACCAAAATACTCCGGCCCCTGATAGATCTAGAAGATGAGGTCAGGAAGTGCTTGGTTGTAGATCTACGTGGTTGGTCACTGTCGAGCCAGCACTGCAATATTTTCTTTTACCAGGCGAGCGTGGCGAGAGTGCTCACAATACATGGCAAGTAGGCTTGAGCCCAACCCCGCCCCACGCCACCCCACCCCACCCCCACCCCACCCCCCACCCCCGACCCCTCCCCCCCCCCAACGGCCACCTCGCAGTTAGGGTGGGCCTTGCCCATCTTTTTGCGGTACCCGAGCGTGACCCCCACCCTACGCAACATCGGCATTTTTCAACCATTTTTTCACTATTCAAATCGTCATCCTTATTCATTATGCATATTTCCACTCAACACATTTCATAACAGTCTCAACCTCAAAATTCATCAAAAAAGTCACATTTTCTCATTTTCTATTCCATCATTCTTGTCATTGTTAGGATGCTTGAGTGGAAATAGGAGTATAGGGTGGTTCATATGATATGGTTATTGATGGTAGGATGCATGGGCAAGGTTAAGCTCATTCATAAAAAAAAATCAAACATAATATTGTTCAAAAAAATAATATTTCTCAAAACAAAATAATATCTTCAAAAAGTAATATTTCTCAAAAAAAATATTTCTCAAAAAAATAATACTTTCAAAAAAAGGAGTAATTTTTCAAAAAATAAATTCGCAAAAAATAAATTTTCAAAAATATTATTCCAACAATTATGATAAGTTATCTTACAATATTTTTATCATAAAATTTGTAGAAATATTATGGGCAAGGTTAGGTTCATTCATTAAAAAAGAAACAAAAAACAAATTTTATAGAGTATAACTATGGTATAATGAAAGGTTATAAAGTTTTACAATGTTAATTTATATTATAATAACATAATATAAATAAACTGTCGCCCCAAAAAAGGGGGAACCCCACCTAATTTCAAGAAGAACATGCTGTTTTGTCGTTGGATTATTATCTATGAATAAACCCCCGTATCTTCATCATAGTCAATTTGATAAAATGTCATAGTTGAAGCCTTCGGTTCTTTAACTTCTTTGTTATTAAGTTTGTTTAAATAAATATTTCTTTTATTTTTATATTCACCATTGGTTCTATCTACTTCTTTACTTTGATAACTGTTTGTTAAAGGTTTCTTCTTTTCCATTTCTTGCAAGATTTCTAAAATATTCTTATTCTGTTCTAAAACCTTGTTCAGTTTTTTAACAATCTTTTCTAATCCTTCATCCATGTAAATATATATATTATATTATAAAATAAAACTTTTAAAACTAAACTTTTATTTTACAAAATCATATATCATTATAAGTCAATTCAAAATTAGTTATTGTGTAACTCGTTAAATTATTATTCAATTTACCAATTAAATTACAAATAATAGTTTTTCTAAATTTTGAATATTTATGAAACTTTTCAATATTATCTGTAATATAAATTATTAAACATTTAATACATTCAAACACATTAACAACATTAATGTTACTATTTTTGTAAATATTATTCATTTTTCTCAATGTAATTTCATAAAACTGAATAGCATTTTTATTATCATAATTAGCAATAAATCTTAAAGTATATTGAATATATTCTTTTACAATAAAATTTTAAATCTGATTGTTCAAATAAATCAGCATAATTAATAGAATTATAAAACATGTTAAAATCAATTTTACTATTTCTAAAGTCATTAACAAAATTAATTAATATATCATTTTCGTTATATTCTTCAATAAAATTATTTAATTTCAATTCTTTTACAATGAATTTACGAATATTATTTATAACATCTTGCATTATAAATAATAATAGAAATAATTTTAATTATTATTTTTTCATCATTTCGCGTATCGTTTCCTGTGTTTCCTTATCGCCATTATCGGATGGAGCAACTCCCCTCCCAAAGCGTATAGCAATATTATGAACATCTGTTTCTAAGTTGATACTGTCTTTAGTTTTATCAATATTCATTTTCTTATCATTCTTACTTAGTTTGAAACTTGTCGGAATACACGAACATTTACAGTTTCCTTTCTTTTGTATTTCTAATTCATTTTTTAACTCTAACATCTTTTTACACATTGGACAAGCAAACTCAATAACTGATGTTTCTTTAACAACTTCTTCTTTTTCTTCATCAGTTGAAGAAACAACTGGTTCAGTCTTATTCTTTTTCTTTCTTCCCATTTCTATTAATATTTACATTTTAATTTTTGATATATTGTATCACAAACTTAATTATTTCTAAAACAAAATAGCATACTTTCTTGCATCTATTATCAGTTATAACAACTTGTTCTAAATTCTCTACTTCATCTATTATATCAATATAATCTGAATAGCTTCTATTCATATAAAATAATAAATATAAAATATTTTCTAAATAACTTTAATATTATTTTATGATGTCAGATGTTCCAATAATAAAACCAATAAACATAACTGAATATGAATTCAAACAATCTAAATATGAGCACGTGCCAAAATTACCATTTAGAAGTATTATAGTTGCTTCTTCGACAGGCGGCAAAACGGTCTTATGAATTGCACGTGGATGATGAAAACGAACAAATTTATTTTGATAATTATAATCCAAGTGATTTAGAAAATGTAATTGAAAGACAGAAGAAAATAATTAATTATATGAAATCTAAAAAGATAAAGAAACTACATTCAATATTAATCGTTATAGACGATCATGCCGACGATCCTAAATTTGTTAGATATAGTAAATTATTACATGGATTATTTACAAGAGGTAGGCACGATGCAGTAAGCGTAATTTGTTCAACACAGAAATACAATGTTTTGGCGCCTATCATTCGTTTAAATGCCAGTTCATTATATATTTTTAGGTTGAAAAATGCCAGTGAATTAATGAGTTTTATTGAAGAAAATAGCGCCATTGTTGACAAACAGCAATTATTAGATATGTATCATCAAGCCGTTAATGACGCACCTCATAGTTTCTTCTACGTGAATATGAATGCTAAGAATGTGAATGACATGTTTTCTCTCCGTTTTGAACAGGCATTTCAAATTACAAATGATGAATAAAGATATTCTAATTTAATATAATATAATAATATGCCAATGAAACTATGTAGATGTGGTGGATTTTATCGTAGAGGTAATTACAATTTTCATACTAATTCTTGGATACATAAACTTTATAAAGTGTTAAAAAGACGACCAACAGACGAGGAATTATTAAGATTTCAAAATAATTTTGTTGATGAAGAAGATTTAATAGATGATATGTGTAGCAACGCCTCAACAAAATTACCCGAAAGTGAAATGACAGATTATGATAGTAATTAATAATATTAATGTATGTTAATATTATCAATTTAGAATAAAGAATAGCTACATAAATTTAAGGCAGGAAATTTATAATATGTTTTATCTTTTTTACATTCATTAACTTTTTCTAATTTATTTATTATTGCTTTCAATGAATTTATTTGTAGAATATCAATTCTTGACATTTCACTTATCGTATTTACATCTATATCTTTTATTACTTTAATAGCCTCTTCATCATCAATTTCTACTGGTTTTGATTTACTTGAACCCATTATATATAATATTATTTAGATTTTAATTTTTCAAAATTATATTTTTGTTTTTCTTCTCCGTCTTCTTCTTCGTCTTCAGTTGGTGCTGGTATTTCTGTTGGACTTTCAGATGAAGAACTATGAACAGTAATAGGTGGAGAACTATGAACACTAATAGCTTCATTTGATGAATTGCTACTGCTACCTTGTGCATTTCCTGCTGTTATTTGATTAACTAAATCTGCGATATTTATTGTTGTTGCAATTGCGCTATGTGATAAGTTTAATATTATATACTGCTACCGTAGCGCCGTTGTGTAGCATTATTTCTATCATTTTTGTCAGATTGAATCTTTCTTCTTCTTCGTCGCTGTCCTCCTCGTCTGGTGGTTTCTTTGGCGGTGGTTCTGGTGGTTTGTTGTTGTCGAGCATTTTAGTAAAGGCTGACACCATTGTGTCGCGTTGGTTTTTCAGTGTTTGTGTTGCTTGCGCTCTTGTTGGTTCATGTCTTTTGTATGTGTTGTGCCAAAAGTTTTTAAGCATTATTTTAAACATATTATCTTGGTTTTCCTTTACCTTAAACGCTTCAAATGTCATATTTAATTGTTGATTTGCATCATTATATAACTTTTCTTGAGTCTCTCTGGTTTCTGTGGCGATTGTATCTGTATTGGTTGCAATGTCAATAAATTCTCTCGGTATGCCCTTTTTCATCATTTTCGGTGGTTGTATTGTTGTTGGTGTGTTTGGTTTTGTTAGGTTATGTATTGAAAAACTGTCGTCGTGATCATAATTATCATTGAACTTCTGCTTCTTTCTTTTCAGAATATTTTTAGTTAATGTTATCATTATTATTATTATTTATATTTTTATTTCTTACCTTTACCCTTAAAACTTGCCTTGAGT